ATTAATCGTGCAGCCCTAACTGAAAGACTAAAATGAGAGGGTTGAAATGAAGAGAAAAGAAATAACAGTGTGGGAACAGGCTAATTTTCTTAGGGCCAAGTTTAAATAAAATCCATTCACCTGGAAATGAGAACGTAATACAAATGTATGCTGAAGCCATTTATAATCAATGTCATGTTTGTTGTGATCTGAGATCTCAGATTAAGAAGTGAAATTCTTAAAGTGTGCGTACCCGGGACATATACGCTGGGGTTCTCACTCATGCCAGGTAACGGCTGATAGTCATGTGGCCGGCGAATCTTTAAACTCTGCCCCTGGAAGATGATGCCATCAAATGCCATGGCCTGCGTGGTCTCATCCACCGATCGGAACTGAAGAATTGATAGGAGGAAAATTGTAAGGAAACCAGCTTACCTATTCATTAGAAATATAAGCCTCTGTCAGTGTATACAGGCAATTCCCACCTCAAGGAAAGCAAAGTTCTTGTCCTGGTTAATCTGGACAGCGAGGATAGGGTTTCCTGGGGCCTGAGTTAGACCACCGAGTCTCATCTGGGCATTGAAGAAGTCCATCATAGATTCCTGATGAAGAAGAGTGTTAAGTAAGCCATGGAAAAAGTTTTGAGTTTGTTATATAATGCAAGGACATTCATAATGTTATAAGGGATGCACCGATTAAAGTGTACACTATTTATGGTTTGTCTAAATAAATAAGAAAAAACACACTTTTTGTATTAAATTAGATTTTCGAAACAGTACATTTAATGATGTCAATAAATTATTAGTGTTTTTAAAGATTAAATTGAAGTGAGCGTTAGATGATGGCAAGTGTAATCTAAATGTAAAAATAGAGGAAATGAGAATGCACAAATAAATATACAATATGCTAATGCATAATACATCTAATTGAGCCAGCGTTCTCTATGTGGATCTGTTCTCCAAAGCCCTGCAGAGTAATTCTAGTATGTGAATAATGTTCATTTAACACCTCTGTGATGCCAAATGGGATGTTGCCAACGTAAAGTCTGCGAGCCTGGCGAGTCATCTGACTGCCCACTACGGGCACTGGGGTTGGCGTTACTGCCAGGCCGTCTGGCGTCATGGTGGGCAGCAAAGCGGTAGCGGGGATCTGACCAGCAGCTGAGGGAGAGAGAGAAAATAACTGCATTAACAACAGAAAATTAATGATTAAATGCTATTGTCATTATCAAGAGATGTTTGTATTGACCTGAACCAAAATAAATAAATAAACCGAAAGCAAGAGAGAGAATAAATAAGATTTAGTGACAGGGGTGGATGATATGAGTTTCAAATTCATATAGCAATAAAACTTTCTACACATTTCTGTGCATCGTTTCAACCAGTATAACACACCTCTACTTAGTGAATAAAATGAGTGGATACAAGGTAGTGATTTATGCCACGTCCCTCACCTTGCATTGCCTTGTACTGCATGGGTGTAATATGCTCAAAGCCAGGAGGCGGTACATCCCAGTACTTCTTAATTTTGATCTTCTTTTTCTCCCGTTGAGGAGAACGGCTGATTTACAGAAAGGCAGAGAGAAAAAGAAAAGAATTGAAGTTAATTCATTTGCATCTAACTGGTATATTAAATGTTCAAGAATATGATGATTACTAACTTTTATCTGACAGAGCTAGGACATTTTATTATATTTTATATTATCCCTTAAAATCCTTGAGAAAAGCAGAGAAATTAAAAACAAATTTATTCAATTATTATGTTCAATTATTATGAACAATAAAAAAACTTCATAATAATAAACTACAACTGTTACAATTAGTACGGTTTAAAAATATTTTACCTAACATAATAATACCACACATAGAGAAGGCTTTTAAAAGAACAGTTCACCCAAAAATGTAAATTGGCTTAAATTTACTCGCCCTCAGGCCATCCAAGATATAAATGAGTTTGTTTCTTTATCTGAACAGATTTTGGGAAATTTAGCATTACATTACTTGCTCACCTATGGATCCTCTGCAGTGAATGGGTGCCGTCAGAATGAGTGTCCAAACAGCTGATATAAACCTAACAACAATTCACGAGTAATCCACACAACTCCATTCAACCAACAATATCTGTCAAAGCAAAAAGCTGTGTGTTTGTAAGAAACAAATCTATTATTAAGCTGTTTTAACGTTAAACTTTCGCTGCTGGCCAAAATATAGTCTATAATAATGCTTCCTCCACTGAAAAGACCAACCCCTGTTGTTCTCTCACATCAAAATCCACCGACATATTTGTTTTGGACTGTTTTCGTTTTTAAACATTGCGTGATCTGTGCATATTGCTCTCCTGATTCAGATGAGAAACCATTTTCACTGGAGAAAGCAATATTATGGATAGAGGACTCATATTTGAGCCCGAAGCAACGCTTTTCAATTCACATTATGTTAATTGATGGACTGGAGTGATGTAGATTACTTGAGGATTATTGTGATGTTTTTATCAGCTGTTTGGACTCTCATTCTGACGGCACCCATTCACTGCAGAGGATCCACTGGTGAGCAAGTAATGCTGTCACGCTAAATTTATCAAAATGATGAAATTTTGATGATGAAAAACTCATCTACATCTTGTTCAACATGTCCTGATGGTGGGGAAATTTGTTTTAGCAAATATTCATTTTGGGTGAACTATGCGTTTAACACAGAAATGAGAGTACTAATTCATCTGACAAATGGCTTCAAAAATCACAACACTTGGATTTGTAAGATGTAAAAAAAAATAATAATAATAATTTATAATAATAACTGGGTCAGCTCATCAGCAGTATTACCTGACATTTTCTTGGGGATGGTTCTGAGTATGATCACTGAAATGACATTTAAGAACAGGGTTTGACATGTAGCTACTTTGCAGTAGCTTAAACCACGTCTATAAAACAACTGGTTGAGGTTTAAGAGCAGGACTCATTTTTTTTACTGCGTAACTTGCTTTATTCTTGATTACTGTGCACTACTTCAGTTTTACATTAGAGGCATGAAGTGATTCATATTGTATTTACAGCATCTATTACAACAGGGCTCAACAATAAGATTTTATTCTGCTAGAAAGGCTTCAATAACTAGCAGAAAGTCAGATGTTTAAATATGCATTTACATCAACCGGCCTAAAGCTCTTACACTGTGCTGGAGATCCTGATTGAGGAGCCTTTTACAATGATGACAGTCATGTTAAAACATGACAACAACTCTCACCTGCGTCTATGGCGGCGGTCTTTGCTGTCACTGCGGCGTTCCCTGCTTCTCCTCTCTTTGCTTCTCCTTTTCCTCTCTCGGCTGCGGCTGCGTGATGGGCTGCGTCGCCGGTGCCGGTTCTCTTTGTCCCGCTCTAAGACAGAATGAAGACATGAAAAACATGAGACAAAGTTGCAGGTTGCTGAAGCAAACAGGAGTAAGGAAATAAATAGGAAAAAGAAGAAGAAAAAAAAAACATTCCAGCTGCAGATTTAAAGAACATACAGAAATCTGGCACAATATTATGCAGTTGTCACAGTGAGTATCTAGAGGAAAAAAGGAAGATTAGATGGAAAGGAAGGAGACAGGTTATACATGATTTTCTACACCTCATTCTGGGATACCCACCATGACCGTTTAGACTGTCACCTGCGCAGAAGAGAATGAGAGAGGTAAAGTCAAATCACTTTTATTTATATAGGGCTTTATACAATATATTTTGCTTCAAAGCAGCTTCACAATAATAAACAGGAAAACAACAGAATAAATGGTGTGAACTGGAGGCACACAGGAAGTTATAGCAACTTATCGCAAACGTATTACAAGTCCTCCAAACAGAATGTGTCACTAATGACAGGTGATCTGATAACAATACGGTGTCTATAGTTACAAGCTGATCATGTAGGACAAAAAAGTCAAAGCTTTAAATGGCATGTAATTTCTAGGACCATTAACACAAAAAAAGTAAAGTGAGCTGAGGTATCAAACATAAAACTCTCTCAGCACTTATTGTAGAGGCATGTTTTTAAAGAATTAATTGTGACTACAGAACATTATAACAATATATGACTTATTAGAAGTACATTGAGCTTTTGTTGACACCTTTATCCAAACAACTGTGCATAAATTAAATAAGTATCCAGTCAGTAAATATCAAAAATGCCAATTATCAAATGTTTATGCATATTTACAACGTCCTAGATCTCTTTTCTTTATAGGTTAAGCATAAACAACCAGTATACTTAAAGTGCTGAATGAGTTTCATTACCGTCGATCAATATGTGACTATTTATACTGACAACAGACACCATGTTCTGTTATGACAATGTTACGCAAGCGATTACGGTTCATTGCAGTCAGTAGTGCACATTTATACTTACCTTGCTTGTTTTCAGAAAGCTGTCTCTCAAATTCATCAAAATCAGACATCCTGGCGTTTTGATCTGAAGCAGAAACTTCCGTTAACACGCACTTTCAAATATAGAAAGCTTTCTCAGTCACACGCTATTTAAAGGGGCGGACTACAAAAACAGAGATGTTTTAGAATGTAACACCAGCATATAGTTTTCGAGACACGTAAATTCGCTCAGACCGAAATAAACGCTTTGCTTCAGAGGATTGTTAGCTGCTAATGCTAACTCCGACCAGTGCAGGATGCAGGTAAATAAAAGGTTCGCGTCGGCAAAATAGATGATTAAATCGCTTATATGTAATTATTTGCTCTTTAGATATATTCCCTGACAGTCACATGTTATTCTTTGTCACTATTAACCGTGCTGAAATCTAGCCCGTCTCGGCCAAAAAGGCTAACCACTTACTCCGCGTTGGTGGATGCGCCGATCGTTTCTTCACACCAAAAAACACTCCGAATAAGAGCTTTGGCGCAGTGCGTCCCCTACAGGCCTGGAGGGAAGAGTTTGTCCATTTCTACCCACTCTTCATCCACAAGTCATTTTATCTTTGCTTATTTTAGATTAGACGTGAAATTTCCTATTTAAAAAATGACTGAACGCTCTTTCATACTGTGTTGGAGATATGTTTAATAACAGCAAGGTACAGTTTTGAAATGAATAGTAATAATAAGAAAAATAATACATGATCACAATAACAAAAATGTCATTCAAGCCTTTAAACTGACGTTGCAATGTATAAACACTGTTTTAATATTACATTTAATCTTCTACAGGCATACCATAAACTACTAAAGGAACGTGTTGAACAACATTGTCTCATAAATAATATTTTAAATAAGCAAACAATCTCAAAGATTGGACTTTTACTTTTATATTTATTTTCCCTTTTGTCAATCACAAAAAAAAAAAAAAAAACAGTGCTTAAGTAGTCCCATATTACAAATAAGGAAAGGGCTTGTATTTTTTTTTTTTGTAATGCTCAATTGTGAAATCTAATATGATTTATCAGTATAACACCACACTGGTGTGCCACAGTCATTTAATAACACAGCATTACACTTCAAACCAAGTGATTTCAATGATAAACAGATGAACCCATCAACTACTACTCTTTGTTCTTTGGGTTTCTCTCACTACGTTTTGCATGGAAATAACTGCAGATTGTTATAGCCAAGGCCACTAATCAAAGAACAAGTTGCTCCTTTATTATTTGATAGCAAATTTAGAAAGAAGTTTAGAAACTCTGAACAATTTCTTTTCTTGCTTTTAGATGGGAGCAAGCTGTGATCTTTATTTTTATTCAATAATCTTTAGCCTGACATATATCGTCCAAATGTGATGACAAGGGTCAGGATACTAAAGAAAAGTGGTGTCTTGCATGATCCCCAACTTATGAACACAAACAAGACAAAGTCGCTTATATTGAAGGAGTGAGTTTCCAAACTTTACAATAAGAAACGCAAGCATATATACAAAATAAGGACAGGTAACCCTTCATATACAGTGACTGACTGTTTATCTCACAATTGTTCTTCTCCCTTTATTTATTTACCCAAATAAATGTTTTCTCTTTAACTTTCAAAACTGTACAGTATTTGTTCAAATGTTTGGTCAACATGCCATTCTTGGAATCTACACACTTTGTCAATTATTAACAGAGTTGGCACAGAGTTGGGATTTGAACAGTTTTTCACTCCAAATGTGTAGATCTAGAATTGGAGGTAGGAAAAAAAAAAACATAAAAAAATAAAAAGCCCATAAAAGAAAAGGCCCCCCAAAAAAAGGAATACATTTGTGGAAATGTAGCGTCTGAACCTGTATGAAATGGGCAGCAAGAGGTTGTTCTTCTTCAAGGACTGCACCTTAGCATGAGCGTCCTCGTCAAGAGCTTTATAGCAGCGTCTTGCATAATCCAGAAGTTTTTCCTTGGAGGAATCAAACTCACCAACTTCAGATACCTTCTCAGGAGCAACCAAAAGCATTTCAGCGATAGGAGTGGTGGAGGCGACAGTGTTTCGGTCAACCCCGTGGACCTGGAATGCTCTAGACATGCTCTTCAACTTCTGATAGGTCACAAGGATCTTATTGTAGCGAAGCAGAACACCTGCAGGGTCTTTAACTACAAACAAAATTGCAATAATTAAATATAGGAAGTTGCTTTGAAATATATAAAAGCTGAAATTTAAAAAAATAAATAAATAAAATCTCACCTCTTTGTCTTTCCATGCTTCGCGCGATACGGAAAACACGTCGTCTTTTCACCCTCGCCTGGCTATTCTGCCTGCCTGAACGACACTTACGTGTGCTATTACGCTCGGTCTCATCGTCATCATCATCTGTAAAAACTTGCTCCTCTTCCACATAGTCTTCCTCCGCTCTATACTCTTCCTCCTCAATCACCTGCTCCTCTTCTTGATCTGAGGTGAATAACGAAATGTTACAAAAAAACAACAACACTTTATAATTGAAACAAATTTATCTTTGCAGATCAGTTTTTCTTACAGGGTTATTAGTGTTGACTAAACTTAGACTAAAATCATAAAAAAATACAAATTCTCATTACTTGAAAAAAAAAAAAAATTAACTGAAATAAAAATATTTAAAAATATGCAGGTAGTTGCCATGGTGACATTTTTTAGTTTAAATTAAAGCACTAAAATAACTAAAACTAAACTAAAGATTTGAGATATATATATATATATATATATATATATATACACACACACTTTTTTTTTAATTATGAAAAACACACACACAACAAAATTTACTTTAAAATTAAAATATGATAATCTAAAAATAAAATCTAATTTTAAAATCTTAAAAACTACAATATAATTTCAAACATATAAAAATAATACCGTTATAGACAAAGCAGTTAGCAATAGTGAGATTGGTGCAACTGATTTTTTATTTTAATTGAACATACACTGATTTAGAAGAAAAAAAAAAAAAGTAGGTCTAAAAACAAAATAAAAGCTAATTAGCTGGTTTTTCTGCTGCGCTTCTGGTTGCATGTAGGGATTTTTCCAGAACGTGTCATCATGGGTGATGGAGAAGGAATGGATGTTTTTCGGGGGATACACTGATTTAGAAGAAAAAAAAAAAAGTAGGTCTAAAAACAAAATAAAAGCTAATTAGCTGGTTTTTCTGCTGCGCTTCTGGTTGCATGTAGGGATTTTTCCAGAACGTGTCATCATGGGTGATGGAGAAGGAATGGATGTTTTTCGGGGGGGTGGCTTCAGATTGGTGGGCTGCTTCTGAGTGGTGGGTTGAGGCTCAGCTTCTGCTTCCGTTTCTTAAATTAAATAAAGATAACACTTTATACAATTAGATTATTACATTACAAGACACTACATTGCACAAGTACAATCTAAAGCTACCTTTTCCAATCATGCCAATGCTCTCCTGATTTTTGGTGGTGAAAATGAATCTGTCAAGTTGGCAGCGCAGGAAGTCCCTCTCCTCCTCCAGATCTTCGATGCGTTTTTGCAGCCAGGAGTTTTTTTCCAGAGAAATCTGCAGTTGTGCTCGGAGGCTGGTAATCAGAAGGTATGGACTGCAAGGAGGAATCTGGCCTGAGGCCGACTCTGCAGAAGCATTGAAACATACTACAGTGTAGATCTCAATTGTGATAAACATGTTACAAGTTGGCTGAAGTTAATACCATCGAAGGTGTGGTCATTTTGATTACAGAAACCAGACTCATCCAGGCTATTATCCTCAAAGGGAATGGAAATTTCATACCCATCTTCATTCTTCAAACCTGTAACCAGGAGCAAGACAAATCAGGACTTATTAATCAGTTGGATAGTAGCTGGTTTTTAGGTCCAAAGTGGTTATTTGCTGGTCCAAGCTAGCAGACCACCTTAAACCTAAATTCTAAGGCTTCTAAATTATCAACATGATCAAAACTTTGCAGAAAAACCTCTTGTACACAGTCTAATACATGCCTTCTGTCCTCTGACTGATAATTCATAATTCTTTAGCAAGAAAGAGGCCTTTTAGTATAATTTTGACAATGCCCAATTACAGGTCGTGATACATTTATCTTTATGGAAGTAAATGTAAGAATAACTTTTATTTTGTTAGTAATATTTCAAGATGCACATTTACTGGACAGAAGAAACTGAAATTATCCATATCCATTGTTAAAAAAAAAAAAAAAAAGGATGTTAAAGTGTGATGATCAAATATGATACAAGCTAGGTAGGTGATAGGTGAATAACAAGGGTGTAGAAGCATCAAACCCTGATTGTAAGCCTAACACTGACATTTCTTGAAAACTTATCCCTCAATTCTGATTGGTTGATTGTAATGTCGATCCAGGAACATGTTGTACTTGGTGAAATCATGCTTACCCTGGAGTGTGAGCTCTATATGAGCCATAAAAGCCTGGTGCTGGTGTGTCATGATAAAAAATATTTGCAAACCGTTTTTTTCGGGGGGCGATTTTTTAAAATAGTGTCAAAATGCAAATCTTTGCATTTCAAAGATTTTTCTGACTATTCTTTCATATGTCAGGTTTTACAGCAAACAAATCGCTGGTCAAGCTGGTTTGTGGAACCAGCTGGCAACCTGCTAATAACCAGCTTATGCCTTATTCCATCTTAGGCTAACTAGAAATCAGCTCCATATCCCAAAATCGCCTTAAACCATTTCAAACTAGATTTTCCAAATACGATTTAATCCAGTTTAATGACTTTTTTTAAATGAAGGAAGTCTGACCTCTGCAGCTCCTCGTGCTTCTCTGTGCATCAGTCATCATGATTTCGGTGACATGGATCTGACCGACATTCACAAATCTACAGCCAAACATAAGTTCTCTCAAAAACACCAATCCAACTGCGAACTAAACCGATACAAAACTTTGAAAAGGAGCACATGCATGACACAGAGCAGCGCGTGATGCAATTAATAACAACCAAGGTCGACTAAGTAGTTAATTAGTCATTAACATTATCAAGTAGTTAATTAAACATTAGTTAATTAGCCTGTGTCTCCGCTCTGTCCGACAGGGCAACGGATGATTGTTTCATACATTTCTGTTAATAAGGAAAGCGTGCGAGTATATTTAAATTAGCTTTGGATATATCAATTCGAGTTCTACTAAATTGCATGACACATTTACTGCATGCATAAATGAGGGCTCATAAACTTGTGTACTTACGAATGCAACTTGAAGGATCTCGTTTGCTAAACCCAAGCGGGATTGGAGCGTCCGCATGTTGATTGGCTCTTGTTTGTTGTTCCGCGTTGTGTTGATCGCTGCATCATGAGAATTGACTGACTACGACAGTCTGCAGAACAAGATTATCCGGGTCATTTAGAAATCATACGTCATCCTTACTTTTAAATACGTAAAAAAAAAAAAAACCTTTAAACGTATTTTTCTGTCACTAAATTATGTTTTTAATTTTTTTTTTTTTTTAAGATACTGTAAAATGAATTAGTCAATGTTTTAAAAAAAATGTTTTAGAATGTTTTTTTTTTGGACAAGGTAGCACACTTAATTGTAACCTTTATAATTGAAACTAACACGGTAGAATTTGAATTAATTCAGTAAGTTATACGATTCAAACAGCAATGGCTTTTTAATGCTTGAATGCTTTCAAGGTTTCATTTAGTTTGACTCATTGGTAATCTTGCAAATACAATTATGATAAAAGATACTAAAAAAGAAAATTTGATAAAGGAAATTTGTCTCCACCAATAGATCACTTGAAGTATTACACAAGAGATTGTTGTACAGTAATTCAGAATTTGCAGATAATCCTATATAGCATATTACAATGTTAACTGTAGTTCCCCCAATTATTGTTACAGTTGCTGTAATTTCATAAGACATAAAAATGGAATCTCAATCAATGTTTCATTTTGTTTCATTTATGATGTGATGACAGCGTAACAATTTTTCTAACTATTTTGGCAGAAATTTGGTTAACTTGTTATAAAGGCCCACATTCCGGTGGTGTCAAATATCAACATGTCTGGGTGGTTCCTGGGTGGGTCCGGAAACAGCTTCAGACAGGTTTAGTTCATACCTGACAACCACACCTGAAAAACGATTAAATATTTCATATTCGTGAAGTGAAGATACCGAGAATAAAGGTCAGTTTACTAAATAATGCATCTTATATCGACGAACCCCTAATGTCCTCTGTGCTTGTGTCAATTTTGTGAGTAGATAAGACTGTCTATTGTTTCAGTGTTGACACTCGCACATGGTTTTTCTGAGCACATAAAACATTATGAACGAAAGTTGGTGCAGTTATGTTATGTTGGTCGACAGTGGCGGTTCTAGACCACAGTAACTGGGGGGGCCAGGCAGGGGCCACTTGCGCTTTTAGGGGGCACACTTTTAAAATGTATTTAAACCTACTTTCAGTATTATTCATTCAGTCAATTTTCACCATGTCAAGTATCACTGCAATCTCTAAAAGTAAGCTATAACAATTTAAACTCAAATGAATGTTTCAATATGTTTAATTTATCTGACAAATAATTTTGTATTGTAGTGTTAGGGGAGTCATGCACTCATTATTTTTGTGGTGGCATGAGTTAAGGGGAGGGGAGGTATAAAACCCGTCTTTAGCGGATGTCATGCCTTAATATGGGTGTCATGCCATAACATATTTTTTAATACGAGTGATTTTGTATTTAACGTGAATTTAATAAAAACAGTGTAAGTTACTAATTATAACACTTTCATGGTACAGAAAGACAGGAAAGAACATTTACATTATCAAAAACAAAACAAAAACATTATCACTGACTTAAGTCTACCCAGAGTTCAAGCACTCTCAAAAACTCCCATTAAAAATCACTAAAGCTGTTTACATTGTGAAATGAATATCTTACTAACATTTGTACGCACATCTGCACTTTGTTGTTTCTGATGAGAAAATTCGCCAGAGAGCAGAAACCAGTTATATATATAATTGTTAATGCACTGTTAATATATATTATGCCCTGTTCATGAATGCATTCATTTATGCTACAAAAAAATATTTCACTTTCTGTTTGTCCCCAACAGTTAACATGGCGTGTGCTGGTTTGAAACACTGCAAAGTGGCCCTGGGCTTTGCTGTTATTTTTGACATTTTTGGCTTTACGGCCCTGTTTCTGGGGCTCTTTGTGCCACTGGAAATGAAGGGGAGAGATTTCGGGGACCTTCTTGTCTACACTGGGGCTGTCTTGGTACTGATATCTCTTGGCGGTTGGGTCATGTGGTACAGCGGCAACATTGAGGGTATGCCAACACAAAAGGATCTGAGCGGAATCGGCAATGCTGTGGATCGCTTGGCCCGCAACCTCAGCAGGACTCTTAGTAATTGCATTCCTAAACTCAACACAATTGCGTGTGATTGGTTATAATGCGCAGCGCTGTAAAAACAAACAAACAAACAAAAACAAAAAAATGCATCTGTCTCTTCTGGCTCTGCGCAGATTTGAATTTAGCAGCTAGAGATGTTTTACTTTTTTTCCATTACGGCCACCCACAGGACAAAGTGCGCATTGCACCCAAAATTGTTTGATGTGACACGATTCCAAATTTAGGGGGGCCAGAGGGGGGACCAAGCTTGTTGACACGGGGGCACTGGCCCCACTCGGCCCCCAGCCCCCCTGAACCGCCCCTGTTGGTCGATTAAATGTTTAAAGTTACTTTACTTTCACATCTGTTGGATTCAGGACCCAGATAACAGAATATGTAGAAAGGTAAACAGTGCATTTGACTTAATTTTTTTTCAGTGTGTCAACCTTTTATTATTTGCATTTTGCAATTGTTAATATATATTTATA